GGAAAACCACGTGGGCATCTGTGCACTCATCGGGTAGGGTTCCCATGCCGAGCTCGATTTGCTGCGGCGAGATGGAGGGAAGGGAAGGGAGGGAAGGGAGAGGAGAGGGCGAGACACGCCACGCGAGAGAGACACGTGGTAGGAGTCGAAGCCCTACGGCCGGCCGCTATCCGCCAACCACCGGCGTCATTGCAACATTTACAACACCTGATCTGCTTTTGAAACATCTCGATAAAATATATGCAACATATGTCTGAAGACATATGAAATATTTGAAACATACGTCTGAAACACTCGCAAAAATACCTTAAAATACTTAAAAAGCCATCGCAAAACATATGCAACATCCAGATAAACACACTTGCAACATATGTGTGCAACATATACAACATCCAAATAAACACACTTGCAACATACATCTAAAAAAACAAATAAAACATTTGGAACAGACGCTTGCAACATACGTGTATAGCCATTGCAACATAGGTAACATATGCAACATCCCGATCTACTTTTGCGACATTCATACAAAACACTTGCAACATACCTCTAAAATATCTAAAACACTTGAAACATACGCTTGCAACATGCGCTGATCAGGAAGACATCAACGCCCAGCGTACGGCGCAGGCCTCCCCTTCCGTGATGGGTGAGGTGGATGGGGGCGCGGTGTGGGATGGTGGCGCTGGAGAAGACTGCAGCGGGCAGGTGCGCTGCCTAGGACGAGCGGCCCGTGCTGGAGAAGGCGAGCGACGCTGTCTTTTTTTTTTATGGAGAAAGGGACTGAAGCAGGGTGCAGGCGTGCACTGACAACGAGGCAGTGGGCACGCGGTGTTCGGACTGACGGCGCACCACAACATTTGCGTTACCATTATCTTCAGCAATCTCGAGGTGACAAAGGGAATCTGTGGTGATGTCTAGCTGGGTCTTGATGTTGCCGAGCTTACCCTGACTCCATTTCTGGAGTCCCTTGTCTCTGTTGTTTAAGAGATTTAATGGATCAATTGGAGGCAATAGGAGCGTTCCAGTTCTGCTTAGCAACCTCTCTAAATCCAGGGATCTTGGCCTCTTGGGCCAAAATCTCTCGAAATGAAAGCTTGTTTCACCTCTAGGAAAAAAAGTGGGCAATTGTCAGATACTTGCTCCGTTCCTATCATTGATTTGTGTAGATATAAGTGTATAGCAAAACCTACGTATCTAGAAAATTCAAAACATCTTGTAAATTGGAATACATGAAGTACAACTCAGTGCCCATGGTACAACTGAAGCCGCACTTTCTAGCACAATCAGGAAACAACTCTTCCCAAGCATTACAGCAGAGAGGCCGGTCCAACTCCAACCTCACTAGCGTGGGGGAAGAGGGCCAAAATAATCGGGCATTGTCAGATACTACAACCGAGGCTGCATCTGTTGCGAGTCAGGAAACAAATCTTCCCAAGCATTACAGCAGAGCCCGGTCCAACCTCACTAGTGTGGAAAGGATCAGGCGCTGCGCTGTGACGTACTATTGAATAGCAGCTAAATACATCTCCCAGTTGATTATACAAAAACCAACGCTGGTATTTTGGTGTTTACATTCAACTCTTTGCAGCTCTTTCATATCCTCTGGCAGAAGCAGCGCACGCTCTGACCAGAAAATCACAAATAACCAAACACGAGCGATCGCACTTAGGGAATGCTTGCATGTTATGGCAATTTCAAGCTCTTGAATCACATTAGAAATTGTATTCTCTAGTCTTATGTTTCATATTTACTCAGCGTGCGTGTGCCCAGGGAAATCAGCCCAAGCATTCACAACCTCCACCAACATTTCGTGTCAAGCACTGTTGCAGTACATCAGAAGAAATCACTAGGCTTTCCTATCCTAATGTTCTGCTCCTGCAAAAAGGATGTGACAACATTTTTTTGCCAGCCCTTGAAGCTCCTGGAAAGGAAACGGCATAAGATGCGTTAGAACAGGGTGACCGTACGACCAGTAGACTAGTTGCACTAATAGAATAATATCATGGGCAGAAATTTCTCTGTTTTCAAGCTGGAAGCTAAATTAGTCAAGACAGCTTTCCAGCAAAACATTATGTTATTGTGAAAGAAGGTAGGCAGTGTGACATACTGCCAGTGCCAGTATGTCACACAGAAGGTATTTTCAATGTTTTGGTTCTTACAAGCCTTGAACACAAGCATAACTGCAGCCGAAATTCAGCTGCAAAAATTAAACTTCAGATATATATGCATCATCCATCCAACAAAGAAAACAAATAAATTTAAAGGTTATTATTCTCACAAATCTTGCTGTGTGTGTGTTGACAAAAAAGGTTAAACCTTCATTATCTTAATTAACATTCCACATATGTCAAGAGCCCTTTGCGAACCTAGTACAGGTAGATTTAACTGAAACAGGATATGTTGTAGCATGTCTATTTCAGCTGACTAAACAGTAGTGATGTACTGGTGTTTTTTCTAGCATATGAAATTAAAATTTCCATGACTGATATTCTTTTAGTTGTATTTTTTTATAGAGCCTTGTATAGGAAAGGTATAAATAATCATAATACAAAGAGTGTTAAATCGTTCTTTTTTCTTATAAGGACTCAAATATATTAAAACAGATAATACAGAGTACAAAGCTTTAGGATCTTCCATCGCAAAGGATAACCTTGTAGCAACCTAGCTACGACAAGAGTCAATGAGATGACACACATAGAGATGCTAATTTGCATGGGTACATAGGTATGTATGAATCATAAATCCATTATAATGGAGAGAACACGTGATGTCCCCGTTTGGGGCCTTGGGAAGGAAGTGGCCACGACGAAGGCATCAAGGATCCTCTTTGTTGAACTCTAATAGTACAGCCGATGCTCCCCTCAACTGTCTAATGTGCCTGTCTATGAGGGAAGAGCTTAAGCCGTATATACTGATTAAGCTTCACTGGACTCAAGATACTAGTGCTACTTCTAACACTGAATCTAAGGATCAGCTTCGATGGAAGTCGGAGATCAGCCCGAACATTAGGAATGTTAATCGCTGAATTCTCACTCTTGGTAGTAGGAGAATTCTTACTCTCATCGAGAGAGGATGACACTAGGAGTTGGGGCAATTTTCTTGTCTATTTCTTACTCAAATGCCATGCCAACCTGAGGGGTTGGGGTTACATATTTATAGGCTGCTAGCCAGCCAAGCATATGTCAAGATGCTAGTCTAAGATGCTAGTCTAAGATGCTAATATGCTGTCCTAGCTAAGATGCTGTCCTCTAGTCTAAGATGCTGTCCTCTAAGATGCTGTCCTGCTGTCCTCTAGTCTAAGATGCTGTCCTAAAAGCAGAAAACAGCCACAAGGACCATGTGAGCAGTACAGCCCCACAAAGACCACACATGAGACTTATCCATCAAGGAATAGCTTTGCCACTTCTATATTAGCTACTAACATGCTTCTGCTTCAACATCATGTGGGCCCTTGCGTGTACATGTGGAAGAGCATCACTGGCTTCTCTACATGCACAATTTGCATGTTGGAGGGCCCCACACCCTTCTGCCACATGGAAGAGCACTCCAAACCCTGGAGCTTCATCAGTCCACCACATTTAATGACCACGAAACGAAAGACCGTAGCACCGCACAAAAGCCATCAGAATCGGGTACGCTTGTGCAAGGACGCAAGAGAATACGAACCAGGCCAGGACCATCCCAGCAGCAGGCCAGCGCCGCTAGCCCTGGCCGAGGCCACGCAACACCTCGCCAACTGAAGCATGCATCTAGACAGGACGTGTGCCAGTGGCAGAAGAGGTGGAGATAGGTGAAGGGGCTCCAGCATTGCGCAGGCTGACCAGGCCAACGCTGCTGAGCCCAACACTAGCATGAACATCTAGGTCTGTGCCGCAATCGACCGGAACAGCAACACTGAGGCTGAGCCGCCGCACCAGCAATCTAACCGAAGCTACCTCCACATTCACCGAGCACCAAAAAAAGCGGAAGGAGAAAATAGGTGGCTTTATTCTGGCACTCTAACTCATCGCACCGGTGGAGACTGCCGCCGGCAACAACACCGACAAGGAGTCTGCCCACCACCTCCAGGACGAGGGAGAAGATGACCACCATCCTCGACATGGCACCCACCCAGGCAAACTGAAACAACTGAATAGACTTGAGCCAACTACAGAAGAAGGAGCCAGTCCACCACCCTCACCATTGGCGAGCTCACCGGAGGAACCGATGGTGGGGGTGGAAACTGGGAAGACTGGGGAGCCTCTCTTTCGAGCTCTCCTCTGTCGTGTCTTCGTTTAGGTTGAGGTTAGATCCAGGCACTGGATTGAAACCACATGGATGTTCACATTTTTCTAAAATGTATTGACACACATAAAAAAGCTTCAGGTAATGTCACCAGGTATGCCAACCTATGGTGCTGGTGTTACTAATTTCAAAATTGTGAGCAAGTATTTTGCAATCCAAAACTACAGTAGCTACATAAGCTAAAAAATGAATGCAGTGAAGAAACATCTTTAATAGATTATTAGACGCATCAAACTGGTTAGGAATACTTACTTGTGATCAAGATGTGCGATAACTTCACCACCAGGAAATGCTGCCTTTGTGGCTTCATAGGAAACTTTGATGGAGTGCTTCCACATCCCAGTAACCTCCCCAGAAGTTTTTCCATTTACTTGTGGGGGTATCCATTGGCAAGGAGTAGCCAGAGAGTAAATGACCAAACCCATACACCATCTTTGCTGATATATTTTGAAATGAGACAGTTAGAATATAGGTTTTCCTTGTGTAAATCAAAATACTCATTTCTGCCCTTTAGTAGAACAAGCATAAATTAACTGAGAAAATTGGGAATGACAAGTCAATTAACAACGAAAATGTTTCCACTGATCCACCACAAGTACAGATTCTGCATCAGTCCAGAGAGCTTAAATAGGAAACTAGGATTGACCACACCCACATCAGCATCAATCAACACTCCCTTAACTAGCCTTGTACATGGTTTGGTTCCAACCCACTCAACCTGTCAAACTGCACAAGATCAGTCCAGTTAAATTGGATTTGCATGGTTTAGCTGGTTTGGGGTTAAGTGTTTGTTTACAACCAGTGAGACAAGCTGAACCCATACCAAGTCTTGGCTGAGCTCTCAGCTCCTTGAGGAGGCTACGAAGGTCTTGGTTTCTTCCTCTGAAGATCAACACATACTGGCATCCAATTAACATCCTTGTGGCGACAATGAAGGAAGGCTGAGGTCTTTATTTCCTCAATGACCGTCAGCGGTACTAGTCAGAGCTGCTCTTTGCTGCTTGTGACAAGCTTGGCAATGAGGACATGCGGTGGTCACTGACTCGCTGTTGGTTTTTGTGTTACCTATGTGTGCAAGTGGGTTGCCATGGGTTAGTCGTCAGGGCTATTGTGTTCTGGTTTTAGGGAGTTTTTCTGTTTATTAAACTGTGCGTCTGTAGGCCTGGTTTTCCTTTATAAACTGGGCTAATTCTATTCTTCTTAATTGAAAGGCAGAGCTCCTGCCATTAAGGGCGTACCCAGTGCAGAGAGCTCCCGCTCTGTGCGGGGTCTGGGGAAGGGTGTCAATGGCAAGCTCCTGCCATTATGTTAAAAAAATGGTCTTTTAACATTAGAAGTGCTAACATACAAAAAGGAACATATACAGGGGAGACAATAGATAATTAGAAATTGCTTTCAAGAATAACCTTATCTCAATGCTTACATGACAATATCCATGTGACGAGGAACATAGTGACCACCTCCTATACCTAGTAGAACCTTTTCACAGTTCCTACATAACAAGAAATGAGTTTTCATGTGCTTATAAGAAAAAAAGGGGGGAGTAAGAATGTAACAAATAAATGCTTACAAGAAAAAGAAATTTCAAATTAAGTGGATACCATCACAAAGATGCTCATATGTACAAAACACAATAGGATGTGCGGTAGGATGGCGTGTGGGCGATGTCGCTAAATGTCATAGAAACACCTATGGTACAACTAAGATGGTTTTTGTGATGGTATTTTCCAAATTCACCTAATTTTAATTTACAAATAGAAACAATTTCATTGATAAAATAACAATCAAGCAAAATGTGAACGCAATGTATGCAATCAACAGTGGTGTACAGGGAATCTAAGATTTTGCATTATGCAAAAACAGCCAGAGCCTGGCTGGTAAAGAAAACAGGGGATGAGATTAACTTGAGATCCAATTTGACAAGTTCTACTTATGCACTAAGCGCTTATATGTTCTCATTTGAAATTTCAAACTTTGGACTTTGAGAAAATTGGATGGATATGCTGGGCAATGCTGGGAACAACACAATGGCAAGAATGCAAGGCAATTTTAAATTCCACCAAGTGTGTTACTGCTTTTATAATTTTAATATGCCTCATTATTTATTTATTAAAAAATACTAAAGCATATCCGCATATTGTTTTTTTAGAAAAATGTTGTATCTCCCTGTATCCGTATGTGCCTGATACTGATAAATGCTGTACCTGTGCTACATAGATCATGATACTGACCCAACTCTCTGATGTTTGGTCTATGTGCTCGTATCAATAATTTTTTTCCTAATTTTTAGCAGCATGAAGTACCAATTTCTGTCCTACAATCTACATTTCATTGAGGATAATACTTTGTGTCTTTGTATAGACTGATAAAGTAAAATCCCCACGATGCAACTTTACATACAAGGAAAAATGCATATGGGCATACCCTTGCCAACTTCCAATAGCATCTCCATCCTCCAGACCAAGCCCTTTCCATAGAACCTGCAAGAATTGAAAAAATTCAATTCCATGTTATCTTGCGAAGGTCACATTATAAGAGAACAGTTAAAAGCTAACATTATAAATAAAGGATAAGACAGCAATAGCAATAATTGGGCACATATCACATGAAAACCTTTTCAATACGTTGTGAAAGCGTAGCTGATTGGGTATAGTGTGGGATGAATCGCATTAAACGTCTAATGACTTGGGGGGGCAAGTTGACTCCCCGGATTACATTCCTGATTACCAAATATACCCGAACCCCGAACCCCCCCCCCCCCCCCCCAGCAGCGCTGCAATAATCAGAAGCGGCGATCTGAGTGAGAGAACAAGTCGCAAACTAACATCCCCCGTTGTCATAGCGACATTGCATGGCATATGCCCTTTTCTTCTCACCGAAGTACCAAGGTCGAGATGGACATAGTCAAAGCCATGGAGGAAAGCGCAGGTCCAAAGCATCAACGGAGGCCAGTTTTTCGCAAACAACCATAGCAGGACGATGAGCCGACCAAATGGTGAAGGTAGACAAGGTTGCTCAGATGTATGAACGAGTTCTTAGACATCATCCATCAACGACACTGACGGGGATGTCCCAGAGGTGGCAGCAGTGGGCACAGACACGGATAGAGAGCCAGAATGACTAGGAGGACCGGCAGCATGGGTGGCGCCATCCTGGATAGATGGCTTGACCATGAGTGTCATCACTACTGCCTGCAAGGGTATGCAACGAAAACCTTGTACTTGGGAGAGTCGACAATCAGTAGACAGGGTGCGCCGACACGGAGGATCGTGATGATAGCGGCAGGCCTTGGTGGCCCAACAACGACGGCGAGCTTCACAGTGGCCCAGTGGTGCCAACGATGAGTGGCCGGACAAGGAGAGGAGACTAATTAGCAGGGTTCTACGTGACCTTCCTACGAGAGTGCCGCCCCCAGCAGAGATCAATCTCCCCAAGGGCAGCTACGCGGCAACAGCAGTGGAAGCCTTAGGGTTCAAGAACAAAACCTAAACTCATAATACCATGAAAGCGTAGTAGATTGGGTATGATACATGGGATGAACTGCATTGAGCCTCTTGACCTATATATAGAGCATAAGAGAGTTGGGAGGGGGGCAGTTGCCTCCCCATATATGTATGCAATACCGGATTATAACCCTAATTACCAAATACTCTAACTGTCTAACATCCCCCGCAATCATAGCAGGAGCATCGCAGATGGTCAGACTAGAGAAGAAGTCGAAGACTAGCACTTTGAAATGATCTGCACTATTCTATTATCAACTAAGGGCCATAATGAGACCCAACACAAAGGTACATCATTTTCTCAATGTGTTTGCACTTACTCTTTAGCCAATGCCCCTGGCTCTCGATTCAACCTCATATCCAAAATCTTTCTCTCAGGTCGCCCAACCATCACTCAGTCCAAATCAATACGACGACTATAATTACTGGTTCTAGTTAATCCTGTATGTGCTTAGTTGTAATCAAGGCGTGCCATTGGAACATAAGCACATTAATCTAGCAGTTGTACAATTATTGTACTAAAAGATACTTCTTGCCACACTGTGCTAGATTCATGGTAATGCTTGACTTACTACACATTCATGTTTGTGTCTCCTGAAGGTTAGTTAGACAAACACAAGGTGCATGGTAGTTAAAAATGTTAATCACCAACAGTAAAGGATAGACAATACAGGTAGGGAGAGCACAGCGCAGCTAGCGCTCCACATTATGAGGAGATGGATGTCGGCGGAGAAAGATTAGAGGTCGAGCTCACATTTTGGGGAGGACAACAGCGTCATCAGAAATCGGAGGGAGCAGTAGAATTTGGGTATTTGAGGGGCAGAAGAGATATGGGTTGAAGATCTTAGTGGAATCAGAAATAGACAATTAAACAAGATTGTAAAAGGATGTGCTTATGTTCTGGAGAGGTTCACATGTGATCCTGGCCCACATTACATGATCTGATGGCACACGATGGAAGTTTCCACTTTCCAACTGATATGTGGCCCATTTGACTATTGGCAAAGCACCAAATTTTGATGTATAAGATCTTTGTTTTTGAATCTCCACATGCTACATGATCCTGACAGCCCAACAAATAAACACCGTCTGCTTGTGCAAATCCACAAGAAAAAACTAAGAAGTACATCGTAATAAACACAGGGAGGGAAGGAGAGAGCTCACAAGAGCAATTGCCTGCGCAGCATCTTGTCTACCCCAGTGGTCTTCTGTACTTCCTGGCATTATTATAGCATTCCGATACTGAGGTTAGCAATTCAGATCCAGCAGACATGATGGGAGTATAGAACCTAATATAGTAATATTCATTATGCCTATTAATTCATCTGCTGGAGCGGTCTACTGAGCTATATTTACATCAGTGAGTTGAGTTCACATAAACTCAAAGGCCTTTTGGAAAGGTCCACAAGATAGAGCACAAAATATTGGTTGCTTGCATCTTGTTCATCCTGTCCATGTTATAAGAAGCATCTCTTTCCAAAAGTTCACATGCTTAAGTTGACTACCTTTTATTTATGATTTTTCTGAGGACATGACTATATAATCTTCCATAGTGCAGTAATCAACTCTTACAACTCAAAAGAACAAAACATGTTAAAAATATAAGCTTGTGCAAACCATATCAAATGTATGTTGACACAATAAAAAAAACAACTGAATACAGATCATTGTAAATGACTGAGCTTGAAAATTTTGTGTTCTTGTATAGAAATGTCTGGTGTCAAACTGGATCAATTGTTGCACAGTCAATAGGGGCAAATTACATCATGGAACTAAAACAAAAGTCAAAAGGTCATTTAAACTAGAGGTAGTATACTGTATACACTAACTTGCAAAGTAAAATCGACAGGGAAAAAAACAAAAAAGGAATAACATTCCACCCACAAGTATAGTATGGTTCTAGCATTCAGATACCCCACTACTGCTGATTCCAATTAAATCAAACAATATGTTGGAAAGACTCCTGTTGATTATGGAAATACATGTACACTTGCAACTTAAAAACAGGATTGCCCTGCTCGAAGAATGTGAATAAGAGTTGAGGATGGTGCCATGTACGAGGCAAAGACGGCAGAACTAACGTTTAATGGGTCAAAGAGGTTGCTAAGCTAACTGTAGGGCTTTTCTGTAAACTGTAAAAAGAACTTTCAAGAGGGTCCATGGCAAAAAAGACAAGTTGTAGGATGATGACCTGTAAGAAACGAAAAAAAGGGATGCACATAAGCACATACCTATCTCAACAAACATGGTGGGTGTGCTGGTAACTGGTCCATGGTGAGTAGCCTCAAGCGTAATCTTCACAAACAATCATAATTATAGATCAGTTCAGTTCACTCAAAAAGTCATGGGTCACTATTGCAAAGCAAACTACCTCAAACTCTGGAACGAGGCCTTGTTCTGCAGCTATCTTTTGCATCAACCGGAGCCAAGGGCCAATGCGAGGACTTGGAATTGCTGCCCATCCAGGAATCCCTCCTTGGGGTGGGGTTTCATCCTCCTTCAGATGCGGCACACCTTTACATGTGTGTCTCTACGGTAAGAACATATGTACATTATCAAGCAAACAGACAGTTGATGAAATGATAATTTGAACAAACCAACAGATGTCTATGCATGTTGCTCAAAAAACATGATGCTATAACTAGTAGACAAAACAATAACAAATACATGGAAGGCCATTACAGAACTTGTTGGATTGCGTACCAAGCAAAATCAATGGACTGCCAGTATGCTATAACTAACATGGTTCAATATCCTCTCAAATTTGTCGAACGCATATCTATGAGATATCTCATGAATCAAATGGTGTTCAGCAAGAAACAAAAAAAAAACATCAAGCATTTGACCTTGCCATTGGGATAGATGGGATCACATATGAGAGAAGAACGGACCAATTGGATGCACTGTGAGTGCTGGACGTTTGGAGACTGCAGTGTGTTTGCTGAGGAATATGACCTCAGAAACAGACTCTCCAGTGGCTTCCTGCCATCTCTGGTCAAGATCATCCTCTGCGATAATGCTATATTCATGCTTCAATAATCGAACATTCCCATTAGTAAAACTCTCCATCCCCTCCTACAAAACAATATGGGCACACATTAATTGGAACCAGAACCATGATAAAATATGAATTTAGAAAACTGCTGAAATGCAAAGTATCAACTAACATCAGTTGGATGCCTTTCACATTATTAAAGAAATAGATTAAAACTTAAATGAGTTCAGATCCTCTTCTCCCTGGTACATAATGCATTTGCGTCCGTTACATGACCCGAGGTTTCAGTCTCAGAATACCACTGAGAAAATGCATTTTATGCAGCATCAACTCATGAAGTCACTGTCTCATCATGAAGTCACTGTCTCACTGAGCTTAAAATTTCTAAAACAGGAATGCAGTCAAGTCCAGTGTACTTCTCATAGAACAAATAATATTAGAATAATACTCAAAATGCACAGACTCGCAAAGTATAATGAACAAATGGTGAAGCCAAGTCAAATTTTATTCAATATCCCAGTGCAAGGACATGGGCTGAAGCCTTTAGGGACATGAGTCCAAGATATCAGGCATCAATAATTTGAGCGAATACAGTCATGAGTCAAGGTCAGTACATAAAGGGCCTGTTTGGATCCACTAGTGCTAATAGTTAGCAGCTAAAATTAGTACTAGTGAATCCAAACAGACGACCAACTAACTGTTAGCTAAGGGGTTGCTAACTATTAGGGTCTGTTTGGATGAGCTAGGGCTATTTACTAGTTGGGGGTAAAAATTAGCCCAAATTAGCTACAATTGGCCAGCTAATTGGCTAACAGCTAGTTGGAGACTTGGCTAAAAAATTAGCCCTCCTGTTTGGATGGGGCTCTAATTTTAGCTAGCTAACAATTAGCTCTTGGTATCCAAATAGGCCCTTAGTTCCACTAGCAAGTTTGAGGCTGCTAATAGGTGCCAACCCCACCTATTAGCAACATATTAGTAGGTGGATCTAAACAGCTCCCTGCTAATAATTAGCTAGCTAATTGTAAGTGGCTATTAGCTAGCTAACTAACATTAGTAGTGGATCCAAACAGGCCCAAAATGTGAATGAAAATGCTTGGTCCCCTCCCTCGCCCAAGTTGGATCAACCTCAGAAAAATACTACACACAAGCCCAGTAAAATTCAGGAAGCCATGATCTCAATTCTCAACAATTGATTATCTTTCTATCATGAGCTATAAAATTGCCTTGCACACTGCTAAGACAGGATACCTGTGCCCAAAACAACTTTGGTGAGTACTATTAAAGACAAAATTCATCATACCTACTTAGATATTCGTGGCTACATGAAAATCCTATAGGCGCGGTAGTCATTAATACATCCCGAATTGCACAATTGCCTAAGGCTACACGACGATGCATCATTTTTCACACCGTAAACATAACCATATGGAGCACTAGGCACAATCTCAACTCCCAATGACAAGGAGCACCGCAACTCCTAGAGGCCTAGAAACTCCACAGATAATATTGGTGGTCGACGCATACGAATTACTACAAAATACTGTAAGAGATAGCGCAACACACAAGCGGATGGACCCAATCGAGACTTATGGGCATTAAATCAGATCAGATAGATGGGGTTTAGACAGAAGCTCTGTTTTGTTCTTACGGCGATGGGCGGGCCGGGGGACCATCCGGGCATGGCGAGGAAGGCGGCGGCGGGCCCAATGGACGCCGGGTCCGACGTCGTGGCCACCACCAGCACCACCATCTTCTCCTCCTCAGACTCCAACGCCCCGGCTGCTCCGCGAGCACCTACACCACCTCGACTTGGGAGAGGGAGAGCACTCTCGAATACTTTCGCGCTACAAGACGGGTAATCGGGGGCCAAGTGCCAACGCAAGTACGAGGATTTCGTGGACTGCAGGTCTCGCCGTTTTTGTTTTGGTTTCCCTTCAAGAACTGCGGCGGACGGGGGAATCGGGGGCCAACGCACCGGTCCGTATCTGTGGGCTGTGCCTGCCAGGCTGTGGGCTGTGCCTGCCAGGCTGTGGGCTGTTGTGGGCTGTGGGTCTACCGAAAATCCGAAAATGGTATTGCTCGGAACGGATAATGGATTACTCCTCTCCGTATTTTGTTTTGACAGCGATACGAACTTTGACTTCTTATTTTTATAAAAATATTTATGAAAAAAGGTGATATATGTATATTTTTATAAAAATAATTTTCAAAACAAATCTTATTTATATGGCATTCACGTTCCCAAATTTATAATAACTTAAAGTTTAACCCAAGCCGTGTCTAAAACGACTTCCTTTAGGAACATGGAGGGAGTAATGTCTTTTCTATGTGCTAGTCAGCGTACCGAGTACCAAATTTTTTGTCAAAGAAAAAGTATGTACTCCCTCTATCCCAAATTGTAAGACGTTTGACTTTTTTGACTCCAAGCTTGACGACTCGTCTTATTCAAAAAATTTATGCAAATATAGTCAAATTTAAGTCATTCTTGAAGATTTTTTTATTAATAAACCAAACCACGACGAAACAAGTGATATTTTACACAAATTTTTGAATAAGACGAGTGGTCAAACTTGGTGTCAAAAAAAGTCAAACGTCTTACAATTTGGGATAGATTTAGTACCAAATTACTTTTTACAAAGAAAAACATCACAAAATTAGCTCCCCATCCCCAGTCCGCATTTTTTTTCCGGGAGGTTCTTTTGCCTCGTCTACAATAATACCCGTTCATTTGCTTTAGAACTGTTACTTTGCAAAAGATGAACAGTTGTCTGAGATCTACTAGTTTTATTAGATCCTCTTGGTAAGTAAAGCCTATCGTATTACTTACTTCTAAAATATAGTTTATTTGGTTTTGAACTAAATCAAATTTCTCTCATTTAACAGAGTTTTTAGAAAAATATAAATAACTATAATGTTAAACAAATGGTAAATCAAAATATTTATAGAGAACTAAATTAAACTAATTTAATATTCTAGATGTTCATGTGCTCTTGCCATAAATAAACTTAGTTATTAAAGTTAAAGAGAATTAATTTAACAAAATTAAAGTGAACTATAATTTAAAACGGATACAGTACTATTTAGCAATGCTTCGTACAACTTAACGACTTTCTAGCGCAGTGTTGGTTACAAGTATTTCATAGGTAAGCCTTATTTGGTTGGGCTCCTATAGTTTTGACTTTGTGCTATAGTAATGGGTGAATCGAAGCTGAAGAAACTACAAAATATAGATTTTTCAGACTCTTACTTTATTTTGATAGGAGAGAGAAAAACGACTCATGTGAATAACACTCAGCCTGTTCGCTTGCTCGTAAACGATCGTAAATTTCCAACCGGGAACAGTGTTTTTCTCTCACACCAAACCAGCCAGCAGTAAATAATCTACCGGACAGGCTGACTATTACCGGGCGCGTGGCCAAGAACGTGCTCAAAACCTTTTTGTCGTCGTGGCTTGCCTCGGGTTGCCTCAACCGGCAAAGCAAAGTGAGTTTTGCTTTCTTGCTGGTTCTCTCGTTCTCCATTTCCTCCCATCTTCATATAGACTGCGAGCTCATCACTGCTAGGGCCTGAAGCAACCTTGATCGTGCAGGAGAGAGGATTTGGCTCGCCTACACGGGCAAGAAAATCCTTGCTGAGGTGAGCGAGGCTACTAAGCAAAAGAAGATTTTAGATGCTAACCAAACAAATGTCCTTACTAAGCAAGGCAAAGCGAGGGATTCTTTTTTTTGAGTAAGCGAGGGAACTTTTAAGAACGAAGCATGCCCTAGATTTCATTAGAACAAGTCCTTGTACCAGCCCATCTAGCCCCTCAGGCCCAACAACAAAGCCCCTAGGCCTCGTCAGCTTGGACGCCTCATGCCCCGAACGGCCAAGCGCCCAACACGCCCGCCACTTGCGTTTCTCGCTTCTCCCAGCTTCACCCGTGACCCTGACCCAAGCCATTGGGGAGCACCACTGCACCGCCCGGAGTGGACCACTGGAGCCAGAGCCTGAAAGTGCCCCTTGCACGGTTGCACCTCACAGCCTTACCGACTCACCCCCCTCGCGCCGACCGCTCTAGATCTCTGCGACCACGACCAACAAGAGCCGCGGTAGCAGAGCCACGACGTGTCGACGACGGTGGAGGCCGACGCCTCTCGTTGGCCCCGTCCCCGTGGCAGAGCTCCAGACTCCAACAAGGCCGCTCTCCTCTAGTCGTCTCCAGACTCTAGCTCTCCGCGATCTCACCCAACAGGAGTAGCAACAATGCGGCAGCAAGTTGCACATTTTTTTAAGCAAAAGCAAGTTGCGGATCTGGATCCCAGTTTTCAGAAGCTATGTCAAATTGGACCTAAGCCCAAATAAAATGATGACCGGCAAGTTAGACCCTAATATATTTTTTAAAAAGATCATATTACCTCCCTCAACTTTTGCGAAAGTCTGATTTTTCTCCCTGAATTCTAAAATCGGGTAAATCACCTCCTGAACTTTTAAAACCGTTCATTTTACCTCTGACCGGTTATAAGCGGTTTTTAAAGACGGTTTTATTTTTTCTTTTTAACTTATTTCGACTAAATCTTAAAAAAAAATCATAGTAAATCACAGAAAAATCATAAAATAGAAAATCTAATTTTGTTGGACTCCACATGAGTAGATCTACACAGTGAACATATAATATGGCATGTTTTAGTACAAATTTTTTGTTGTAGTTTAGATCTATATTTTTCTGTAATTAATTCATAGCTGCAGTTTCTATGGTTCAATTGTGGTGAAATTTTTATGTTGGACTAATTATTGTATACTTAATTGTAGTAAAAATTTTATACTCACAGAGGTAATGTGGATTTTTTTCTATTTTTTTGAAGGAAAAAAACAAAAGCCCAAGATTGCAGCTAGTGCCATTTGGGCCATTTGTGCCCGCGGGATCAGAAGCCTGTTGTAGTTTTGTTTATTATCCATTGACTTGCCCCGACGACTCAGAGTTCAGCGCCTTTGCATTGCGCGATCTTTTGTCTGCTTCTTTGCTCTGATTTGAATCTACTAACTTCCTCCGAGCTCTGGTATGGCTGCTGTGTGTGTGACTCAGGGCAGGTTTGGTTTCTCTCAACTAAAATTTAGCAACTAAAATAAGTGACTAAATTTTAGTTACTTCTGTTGGTTCTAGTGACTAAAAGTGGTTAAAGGCCATTAAAGTAGTTCAACAAAGATTAAACTATCTCTAATAAATGTCCAAATCTGGATGGGGACCAGCAATCCTTGTCTACTGGGCACTTTAGCCCACTTTTAGCTACTCTTGAGTGACTAATGTGACTAAGGGGTGTTTGGTTCCCATGGACTAAAGGTTTTTGGACTAAAATATGTACTTTAGTCCAACTAAAATGCCAAACACATGGACTAAAGTCCTTTAGTCAAAAAACTGGACTAAAAGTGGACTAAAACTCTCTTTGACTCCCCTGCCCCTGTCATTACTGTGCTCGTTTCCCAACCCCAACCCCGCGCCAACTCCATCCGCCGTGAGCCCTCCATCCGCACAACTCTGCCCCCCACCGCGCCGGTCACACCCCTCGTCGCCGGCGACCGTTCTCGCCGGCAGCCACCCTCCTCGCTCTCGTCGGCCGCTCCTCCTCCCGTTTCCCCGCCGTTCCTCCCCATCTCTGGTCCCGACGCCGCCACCTTCTGCAGCACTTCGTTCCCCACCGTGCCCGTCCGTCCCCTCGTCGTCGGCGGCAGCTCCCGCCCGCCGCTACCTTCCCCGCTCTCACCGGCCGCTCCCCCTCCCGTTTCCCCGCTGCTCCCGCCGCTCCTCCCCACCCCTGCTCCCGACACAAGTACAGGATCTAGGTCCGGCCGTCCCCACCACATCCTTCTTCCCCTTGCCTGATTCGCCATCCAAGCCCCGCCCAACGCCGGATCCACGGACTGCTTACCTCCCCATGCCGGATCGACCTCATCCCGGCCCTCTCCAACACCATGGACAACTACCGTGAATTTTTCTCTCAAGGTTCTTCATCGCAAGGTACCCGAAGCTTCCTCCCCTCCTAGGACGCCGGCGATGAATATGATTTCGGGCCCTTCACCTCGCCGCCAGCTCACAGCCTCTCCGCTCCCATCGGCACATGGAGAACCTCGACTTGAACTCGCAGGGCGACGTGTTCCCCAACCTGGACTCGTACCAGGAGTTCCTCCAGGCCGGGGATGATGCAGTGAACTATCCTCTTCCTCCTCGTGCCCCTGCAGGCAGAGGGCTTGGTCATGGCAGAGCTCGTGGAGGTCATCGAGCGAGGTTCGCCGGATTCCCCGGAGGCAGAGTACAAGGACGTGGTGGAGCTATTGGTAGCCGTGGAGGTAGAGAGGGGACCCGTGGGGGAGGCAGAGTTGGTGGACGCGGTGGCGGCCACAACTTCGACCATCCATAGGAAATTAGCACCGGTGACGAGGAAGATGAAGAGTCCCAGGTGGTAAGCCACAACTTCGACCTGTTCCCTGTTGATGAATGTTAATGCTTCTGAATGCTAGGTGACTGCATATGTCATGCTTCTGAATGCTAGCTATTTTGAATATTTTTGTGAATGCAGCTGAAAGCATCTAGGCCCCTAGTTGGGTTTCGGTGATTAATGACAATACGTGATTATTGTGACTAACGTATGTTTTGCAGAGGCAATTAAGTTAGGTCACGGTAATGGAGATCGATTGGGCTATCATGGTGGTCATGCCCCTACGATGGAAATCATTTCGGTTTTTAAAGGATGGACAACAAGGTTAAGGATGGAC